ACACACACACACACACACATATATATATATATATATATATACACACACACACACACACATATATATATATATATATATACACACACACACACACACATACATATATATATATAAACTTTTAATTTAATTTAAGTTTTCTATTTTTATATTTAAACATTCATTTATTTAATAAGCATATTACTTAAAAGAATTTAGCATTTAAAAACAAAAGTGGTTTTTCAACACCCCATGCTAAAAAAAGTTCAGCATCTTACTCAGCAGTAATGAAGAGGAAGGGTGCTTGAGTTACCTCATACACTGCAGACAGGGGGGAACTGGATGGAGGGAGGGAATTTTTAACAAAAAAGAAAAGCGCTTCTTCTGGTCTCATAGACACCCGCTGTCTGATCAGGAAGCAGAGCTGTCCGACTGGACGAAAAAGAAGGAGGGTGTGGAGAGAAACTCAGTCAGATCAAAACTGAACGGTTTCTAAACAGTTTCATTTCTTTCTCAAAATGAAGACAAGAATAGGGAAGTTTAGGGTCAGAGAGAGTCTCAAAGAATTGAAAAGGCCTTAATATCCCAGCATAAAATTACGCAATGCTTATGGACAATCATGAGTGGAGTTGATTTCCTCTGTAAATTTACAGATGTTATTCTGTTGGGGAGCATATATAAAATAAGAGTTGTCACCTGTGAGGTCTGAAGGAACAAGGTATTTCTTTTTGTCAAGCTCAGGAGCTCGTGACCTTGCAGCTCTCTCCACTATTATCTAAGGAGACAAACAAACAAATAAATACCCAATATAGTATTAGCTGAAATTTAGAAAATTTAAATTCAGTCATTATTTTCTCCCTCTCATATCGTTCCAAAACTGTTTTGACTGACTTTCTTTTGTGAAACATAAAAGTAACAATAAATATTTTGAGAAATGTTTGTCCATACAATAGAATTGAACCAAAGCTTTGGTTACCAACATTCTTCAGAATATCTTCTTTTATGTTCTGCAGAAGAATGAAAGTCTTACAGATTTGGGATGACATGAGAGTGAGTAAATAATCACTTAATTTTCATATCTGGCTGAAGAAACCGTCTTAATAATGTAACAGAAATGTATTATTGTTTGTTATTGTATTTTCCAGCCGTGAGACTGACCGGGATTTTATCCGGATGTTTGGCGCGGACTCTCTCCCCTTCCGCTCTCCTGACCTCCAGTGGAACACTTCGCTGATACTGGCTAGACATCTGAGGGCCAAACATACATCAACATTAAAATATAACAAACAAAAACGTCTCAGGCTTACTCCTCCTCATTTGTTCTCATCATTCAAACATGGACAGAAACAAACTCTGCCTGTCAGATATGCATATGATCATTAATAAAACATATTTATGCTCTAAATCAGTCAATCATATATTTTAGAGGTAAAAATTTTTTTTTCCCTCAAACTCCTGCCATCCCCCGCCATGGGCTCTTCTCTCCTTTGCCCTCAGTCCAGATGTTGTTGACATATCTTCTGCCATATGTTAATAATCATTTTTAGAGGCCTGTCACAATACAAAGCTAAAATAAGCATAATTATAAAACATTTTTAATAATAACTAGCTATAAGGATAGAAAAGACACTAAATTAAACCATCACAATGTCTGCACAACTTTAGAGATTTTTAATGCCATTTTATCAAAGGTCGTGGAAAATGCTTCAATATCTTTTATTACTGTGGAACTAGACTGACTGCAATGCCTGTTTGTTTTGTTTATGTTCACCCAACCATTCACTAAAGCCTCTCGTGCCCTGCAGAAGAACATTACATAATACAGACATGTACACGCATCCCATTAGAACATAAATATTAAATGTGTCATATGGCTTTTTTTTTTTTGCATTTATTCCCACTTACTTTGACATCGGAATAGCTGAGTGTGCAAAAACCATGACAGAAAATTCATCCAGTACTGCAGCATATCACGTGGGCCAAATATGACTCTAACCTTTAGGTGTCTTTTTTCTGTGCTCTAAATAGCAGGTTTTACTGAGAGGAAGACCACTGTAGTTGGTTTCGTGCGCTATATTCCTCCCAAACATGTATTAGTGTAGGTGTATTTCATTTTTTGGACATGCACCATGGTACTTCCATTAAGTAACGTTACTGGTGTAAATACGATGGTATGTGAATATCCCAAGTATTCAGTAGCGTGGTATTGCATAATATCATCACTGTACAGTATTTTTGTAACTGTTGTCGGTATCTGAAACAGTTGAGAAGCCAACGGGCTTGTGATTCATGATAGTGTTGCAACAGGGAGTGCTGCAATGCGAAACGTCCTCCACAGCACTGCCTGATGCACAATTTCCACAAACTCAGCTTTTAATAATAAACAATAATCTGCTGTCGTCATACAGTACATGATATTGTAAGATAACCGCGCCCATAACAACTGCTGGTGACGTTAGGCCGCGAGCTCACATGATATGATCTGCTATTAGTGCGGGTGACCGCGGGCTTGGTGCTTGAACTTTTGATTCACCACAAATTCTAGTTCGTTTCCAGGATGAAACTAGCCTTACCCACAGTCGCTAACTGGGTTTACTGGTCGTTGTGGTAAACACGAAACATACCTTGGATAGCTACTGATGGATTCAGGAAGAAGTGAAATACAACGCCCGTCTTCCCCACTTGGACGAATATCAGACGGCCGAATCAGCGCAGTAATAATGTTGATCTCCAAAACTCAATCACTTTGTATATTATAAATCGCCTTCTATGTTGTGGATGTCGACTGGCCCACTTCTCCCACTAAAACAACAACAAATAATGTACCGCCTTATTCTGGGAACTGACCAATGGAAATTCTGAAAATAGACTGACATATCGTCTAGCCATTTAGGAGAGAGAGGAGGCGGCCTTTAAATGTGTTTACAGGGCTTCTATTGGCTAGAGTGTGCTGTCACTCATTACTGTCATTACTGTCAGTCTTCTGGGTCAGTGAAACCAATCAAACTAAAGGAAAATTAGGCCTGTTGCGAATCAGCTCATGGGGAAATATGAATAATTAATCATAACTAGTTATAATTAATTATAAATATTTAGATCCGCTGTAGATATTTACTTGACCTCTCAGGGTCAACTGTCTGTCAATTCTAAGAACGTTAATTTCCTGGTTAAGGGAAATAACTTTCATACTGTACAACTCTACACAGAGCTTGTAGCATAAATCTGCATGATTAGGGACTCTAGTTATGAGCAAACAATGAACATGGTCAAGTGTGATACAAGTAAGACTTTATTAACTACATAA